CGTATTAGGTCTTGCTGACACATGGTTAAAATCCGAGGTAACCTTCCAAGAAGTGGAAATCACCGGCTACTCATGCTTCCGCTTCGATAGACCATCAAGTGATCGCGGTGGCGTTCTATTTTACATAAAGTCTTCCTTGTGTGGGAGACTGGTGAGCGCCTATCAAAGCGCTGATGGTCTATGTGAGCAGTTATGGTGTTCGATACACCTCAGACGCTGCGAGTTGCTCGTGGGCGTGGTATATCGCAGTCCACTGAGCCGCAGTTAAGACTGGTTGCCGCATGTCCGCAACCACATAAGTCGTCAGATGTTCCTACTCATGGGTGATTTCAACTTGCCCCGAATACAGTGGCCTGAAGCTGAACTTCTCCCCGGCCACTGTGAAGCTGAGAGGAAGTTTACGGAGTTGCTATTTGAAACCGGGGCCACGCAGCACATCAACCAAACGACACGCATTACTGCGCGCGCGACTCTATCATGCTTAGACCTACTTTTGACTAGCAGTGAGCAGCGTGTGCATAACATTCAAGTCTTAGAGCCTCTGGGAGCGAGCGACCACTCGATGCTCATAGGCAGCTTGGAACTACCACTGCCGTATTCTCCCCCACTGGAGCCAGCCTTCAACTATTGGAAGGCGGACTTTAATGGCCTCATTCGAGCAGCGAGCCAGACGGACTGGTCTTTACCACAGGATTAATCTATTGAAACCTGTTGGATTATCATTAAATCGGGAGTAAAATCGTTGTGCGCCCGATTTGTGCCCCTCAAATTTCGAAAAGTTGGGCCAGTCAAACCACATTGGTTCGACAAAGAGTACAACAAACTGGCCCGACGACAACGCAGACTATTGAACAAGTTCGTGTTATCTGGCTCTGTTGAGGACCACAATGCGTACAAGGTACAGCGAAATCACTGTAAAAACGCGAAAACAAGAAAACGCAGAAGCTTCGAAGAGGAGCTTGCAACCCCCGCAAAAACTGCCCCAAAGATGATCTTAGCATACATGAAGCGGCGCCTGAGGCCTGTAGCCAATGTCCCAGTGTTAGAAGGCTCCGATGGACAGCCCCTAACCTCGAGTACAGATCGTGCGTCCGCATTGGCGGCGCACTTCGCCTCCGTATTTGCAAGTGACCAGGTTTCTGTAACTAGTTCGACGAGTACCGCTCCAGCCGAACTTAACAACCTGGACTGCAATATTGAGGATGTGCGCAAGCTTCTAGCAAATCTTGACTGGAGGAAGCCTGCTGGGCCAGATGGTATACACCCACTGATCCTCAAGTACCTATCGGCCATCATCGCGCCTTCTGTAACTGAACTGTTTAATAGGTCACTATCCACTGGACTGTTACCAGACGACTGGAAATGCTCAGACGTAAAGCCTATCCCGAACGGTGGTAACCCAAGTAAAGTGGATAACTAACGGCCGATCTGCCTGACTGCTGTTTTGGCAAAGACGCTCTAGAAGATCGTGCAGATGAAGCTTCTGCAGCTTCTCGAGTCGAAAAACCTGTTGACCTTTGCACAGCATGGTTTCATGAAAGGTTGCTCGTGCATCACCAACCTACTATTGACAAGGCACGAGTGGTTACAAGCGATGAACCAAGGCCATTCAGTCGATGTCATTTACATTGACTTCAGTAAGGCTTTTGACAAAGTCAACCATGCAGTGCTCCTTGACAGGCTGAGGATGTACGGTGTTGGTGGTTCGCTACAAAAATGGATCAGAAATTTCCTTGTGGATCGGAAGTGGAGAGTCCAGGTGGACAACCATCTAACGGACTGGTATTCATCGAGCAGCGGCGTTCCCCAAGGCACTGTACTGGGGGCCGATATTGTTTCTGATCCATGTAAACGATGTGCCTAAGCTACTCCAATCACCACATGCGCTGTTCGCCGATGACTTGAAGGTGTGAAGAGTAATCCGCACACTCAATTATTGTGATTTACTTCAGCGAGACCTCGACAGCCTCTCAACATGGTCTGCAGTGGTTAACCTTTCCATCAACCCCGCTAAGTAGCAATTCATGAAATTGGGTAAATACGAGCACAGCCGAACGTACACAGTGGCTGGTCAACCGTTGCATCCCGCGTCTTTCGTGCGCGACCTCGGTGTGCTCTCACGCTGCGACCTAAAGTCCATTGACAACACGAATAGGCTGTACCAAAACAGCCTTCGGATGCTTTGGGCCCTCAGGCGCAGCTTCAGCAATTGGTCCGAAGAGATTGCTACTCGTCTCTTCATCTCAATAATACGACCGATGCTAGAATACGGATCTCCCGCGTATTGTCCCATCACGCTGGGAGAGGTAAAAAAGCTTGAGCGGGTGCAGCATGTAGCCACCAGGCTGATTCCCAACTTACGAGGTATGCCATATAAAGACCGATGTAAGAAACTAGGGCTGTACACCCTAGCATATCGTCGGCTGAGGGTTGACGTCATCATGACGCACCGGATATTGCATCTTAGTGATTACCCCATGTTGAGACAACTGCTTCATCTGCACACACTAAGCTGCACTCGAGGACACCGGTACAAACTTATCGTACCCAAGTTGAAGCGGGTCGCTCACCAAACGCAGAGTGGTGAATGTCTGGAACGACCTGCCGCAACACATCGTAGAGGCCAACTCAGTGTCCGAATTTAAGAAGCTTGTAGACAAAGATTTTGCAGAGGCAAAATTTAAAGAGCGAAACGATAAATAGGGCGTAAATGTCCAAGAGCGACGAATGATGCAGCTACACATAGAAAGTTCTACTCGCTGCTTCGAACCAGTATTCAGTATTCAGTATTCATCATCATCATCATCATCATCAGCAACAGCAGCATCATCATCATCATCATCCATCATCATCATCATCATCATCATCCATCATCATCATCATCATCATCATCATCATCATCATCATCATCATCATCATTATCATCATCAGCAGCATCAGCATCATCATCAGCATCATCATCATCATCCATCATCATCATCATCATCATCATCATCATCATCATCATCATCATCATCATCATCATCATCATCATCATCATCATCATCATCACCATCATCATCATCACCATCATCAACAACATCATCATCAACATCATCAGCCTCATTATATACGTTATCTAGAACTGAGAAACAGCTCAGCTACTGCGCCGCAATGCATAAACGGAAAATAAAAATGCAACAAATGCAAGCCAGCTGCGATTCCGGCGACTGATGTGCATCGTTCTTTAAAGCTACCAACCGGCGACTACGCAGCAAAACAAAAACTCTATTTTGCACATTTATATTGGGCTAAAACGTCAGATCGTGTTTGGAAGAGGAAGCTAAGAGGGATGGGAGTGCGAGAAACCCACAACACGAACGTCCTTGTGGTCGGCTCCTAGCCATGTTAGCAAGCGTATCCAGCCAAAGGTGTTCATCGTCTATCGGGCCCCAGCATCAGCCGATGTCAATCTCGGAGTGAGTGTTTTCATTTCTCTTGACCAAGTCATTGCTTGGTCTCCCATCCTTCTCTTCCATCCAGACCTCTGGCGCGCAAATAAAGTAGGTCGCGGGAGCCGGTGGGCTAGCATGCGTAACACGTAACCGAGCCATCGGAGCCTGGTGCATGGAATGACGGTGCTGAGCGGTTCATTTCCTTTTCCTGTGCCAAAAGCATGACCTCGAACACCCTGTTTGCTCATGCGATGTTCCCACTAGATGTTAGCCAAACTGCGGAGGGATCATGGAACCGTTGTTGGCATTCTTATTTATTAAGTGCACTGGCAGTGGCCGACTTCGATTGTTCGCATCACCCGAGCCTTTATGTCGGGAATACATCCAGAGAAAAAGGTTTTCTAGCTTTGTTGAATTTGGCGTGCGGGACTAAGTGGTCGGTTATTGGGGCGAAAGCTTTAAAACAAATACCTTGATGTAACAACACTAGCAGACAGACTGGTCATACAACCTCTGTGGTGGCCGCGCCACTTATGCTCCCTGCACACTTGCACAAGGGGTTTTTCACTATGTAAGCTCTCAGTACGCCTGGACCACAGAATACAGTCCGGTCAAGAGTACAAAATATATTGCGTCACAACTGCTATCCAGCGACCGGCTTGTTTGATAACAAACGCAAGAGTTCAAGTGTAGGATGTACAGCGTGTACTTCTCAGTCTCCACCTTTCTCAGGTATCGGAGCAGTTCGCCTTCCCCTGTCTTGTATATTGTGATTTTCCCGGTCATATCATCTGCTGGATGTCGATGTTCATCGGCTATAGAAAAGTGAGGATCGGACTGCGTAAAATTTACACACCTATCCGTGCTTTGCAGAACCTGACACCTCAATTTATTCAAACCTTTAGCTGGGCGGTGTTTATCCTTTACTTCCATACTACCTTACAGATAACGTGGACAATATTTGATTGAAATTAACATGCCAGTCAAATAGTCACTTTGTACTACAGAAACTGGCTCAGGACTTGTTCGGAAACAAGCATTATTTGCATACCAATTTTGTCAACCTAACCCAAGTAAAACTAAATGATTTCTCTGACGGATCCAAGCAGTTAACCACGTTCCGAAAATGAAACTTGTTTAGCTGTTAGCCTTATGATATGTTTTACTGGAGTTTCAAAGTTACGACATTTGACCATTACCGTTGTGATGTAGTTGCTGAGGTACCCTCTGCAAACATCTTTCCAATATTTGTTCACATTAATGTTTCGATGTGTTGCACGACGAAAAGGTGTGGGATAAATTCTGAGAAAGTTGCTTCTAATTTGCTGTTCACCGAAGGATTCTACTCCTGCACTCGTACTACAGTAGTTCACCACACAGTTCCAAAACACAATTATTCCTCAGGCTTGCACGTTTAGCAATGACTGATTTCATCCTGACGCTTGTAACTAACGAGCTGGATTTGTAGCACCAGTGAGTCAGGAACATCATAGGCTTTTTAGAACCACTGCAGGTCTAGTGTCGTAAGTGAACAAGATAGCAAGATTTGGGTTAAGACTAACACACCTGTGATCCCGCAGATGGTCTTTTCGTCTGAATCGACGGCAGCAGACATTGCAGCTGAAAGGACGTTCATCGGTGTGTGTTCTTTCGTGAATGGTACGGTTGTATGCCTTGCTAAACTTCCGTCCACAGTGCGAACATTCATACGTGGCTCGCTGTGTTCCACTTGAGGTCCTCCGTTCCACTGGCCTGTGAGTGACACAGCACATTGGCGTTTGAATGCAGAATTCTTCTCTGAAGAGCTGCATAGGTTTTAGCGATTCAACGACGGTGCTGCTCGCCTCTGTCTTAACCGTGGATGTCACAGTGTTCGCTGTTACACACATTGCGTCGACCGGAAACTCGGATTTTACCCTGAAGGCAGTTGAGGAAAAGTTGTTATGAGAAGCTAATGTGGCAAATCCTGAATGTGTTTAACTATAAAATGAGGCTCACATACTTCTAACATAGTTCGAATAGAGATTATGCAAGAAAGCACCCCATTCCGGTCCGTATTTTAAAACTTTATCTTATCTGCTAGTGCTTAAAAGTATGGTTTACGCATAGGTGCATGAGGTGCGGCGTATCTTGTGGTAATCTAAGTATATAAAGGAAACAAGTAATTGGCACATACGTAAATGCAAATTTCCCTTTCTCTGCGTATCAGTCAGGATTTATCACCACCTCCAAAACCACTGAGTCAGGCTATTTGCTTCAATCAAATTTTCGCAGCACTCAATATAAAGTGTGCAGTGCACAGAACTTCCATGTAGACGGATGCAACGGCCCTGGCATCAATGTTGGCTTATAGTTTAGCGAAGCTCATGGTAGGTTCGGACGTGCAACTGTTATCAACACTGCAACTGTCGCTTTGTCGAGGTGAAGCGCAGAGAGTTAGGAGCATCTGCACTTACTACAGGCATACACAGGGAGTGGGTCTACCTTGACGTACCATGGCGATCCGATTGTATGAGAAGCTGACTAGAATACCACAGTTGTTTACATTAGCACCCACTGCAAATGAAACCAAAGTAATTATTGACGTTCCATATCTTGGAGTAGACTTGGAACAGAAGGGAAGTTTCATTTCAGGCGGATTAGGGAACAGCCAATTAATGCTTTTCTGGGCTATGTTTTGAGTTAGCAAATGGTTTCTTGAGGATAAACGAAGTCAATTAACATTTTGTTACGCTTTATAGCACCGAAAAGGAATAAGGAAGAAAGCAAGGACAAGTGTGTCGCGCTATTATCTTAATTACTTACTTCGTCGGAAGAAGGCTTTACATTTTTAAAGTGCTGATAAGTTGGTTGGCATTTTTCAGAAGTTAAGGATGTGATCTTGGAATCTTTACCGTCAAACACGTCACTAACGAATGAAGTCAAGATGAGCCGTTTATAAAACTTCTATAGAAGTGTGCTTGGCTCACGTAAATACTCATCACTGAATACTGAGAATAGAGAGCGAGAAGATAAAAATCTGTGTTGCTCCATTGTAGGTGGATCGGACACATGCGCGGAATCACGTCGCTGATTCCTGCGCGGTGGCAGCATATTGCAGCTGCACTACATCTTATCCTGGTGCGATACGCTCCCTATACCTGTAGTCCGCAAAGTGGGCGTCAAGAAATCTATTAAATTCCGACACCGATTTCACCTCGACTAGCGTCTCCGCTAACTTGTGCCAAGATATCACCACGCGACGCTGAATGCATAGAGGGTGAGCGATGTGCCACTAGTTTGTACCGGTGTCCCAGTGTGCTGCTTGGTGCGCGAAGGTGCAGAAGTGGCTTTAACATAGGGAATTGACCCAGGTGCACTTTCCAGTGCGTCATAATGAGATCAGTTCAAAGCCTACGATATGACAGGGTATAAAGCCCTAGTCTCCTACATCGGTCCTCGTACGACACACCCCGTAAACTGGGGATGAGCCGGGTAGCTACATGCTGCATACCCTCCAGTCTCTGCACCTCACCTACTCTGATCGGGCAATAGGCGGGTAAGCCGTACTCTAGCATCGGTCTTATCATGGAAGAAAAGAGTCGAGTGACAATCTTTTCAGACCAAGTGAAGAAGCTGCGTCGAAGTGCCTACAACAGGCGTAGTCCGTTTTCGCACACTCTTTTCGTGTTGTCGACAGACTTGGGCGTGCGCCTAGATCCTTTAAGAAACTGGTGGGATGCAGCAGGTATCCGTCCATGGTGTACGCACGCCCATTACTACCCGTACCTAGACACATAACCGATGACTTGACCGTGTTGACCGGTAGGTCAACTTATGCAGACCACCGGGATAAGTGGCCGCGGTCCTGCCGAATGACGTCACAGCAGCCAGGAGAAGCAATAATCTTTGTAGAAAGTAGAAGCGTGATTAAACTTTGCACAATAATTTGCCTCGACGGGGAATCGAATCGCGGACGTACGGATTACCGGTCCGTTGCTCTACCAACTGAGCTACCGAGGACTGACGATCAGGTGCACAAGTTAATACATGACTTCTGCTTGCTTCGCGACGTATTGCTAATAGGCTCACAGTATCTGTCCTGGTGTTGCAGATCGGCTCAATCACTCGTCACTTCCAATGAGCCGAAATATCCGTCCTCCAGATGTTCAAAGGGCGGTGGTAACTTTAGATCATTGGTGGTTTTGTGAGTAGTGTAAATTGCGCACCTGATCGTAAGTCCTCGGCAGCTCAGTTGGTAGAGCAACGGACCGGTAATCCGTACGTCCGCGGTTCGGTTCCCCGTCGAGGCAGACTATTGTGCGGTTTAATCATGGCTTCTACTTTCTACAAAAATTAAACTACTCACAAAACCACCAGTAATCTGAATCAATAATCCTCGAAAGTTTCAGGTCATCCGCAAATAATGCGCAGGACGACCGGGGAAGCAGAGGTGCTTCGTTGATCTGGACCAGGAATAAAATGGACCACAGTACTGTGCCTTGGGGTACGCCGCTAGTGGACGAGTACCAGTCCGTTAGGTGATCATCCACCTGGACCCGCCATCTCACAATAAAGAAGTCACTGATGCACTGGCGCAGTGCGCTACCAACACCACACATCCTCCACTTGTGGTGCAGGATCTCACGGTTCACTTTATCGAAAGTTTTACTGAAATCGATGTAGATAACATCCACTGACTTCCTCCGATTCAACGATTGTAAACATTCTTGCCGCGTCATTAGCGGGTTGTTGGTTAAAGAGCGGCACTTCACGCAGCCGCGCTGTGCCGACTTTAGGAGATCTTTCGACTCCAGCAGCTGGAGAATACCCTTTTTCACAATCTTCTCGAGCAACTTCGCCAAAACACAGTTGAGACACATCGGCCGGTAATTGTCCACATTGCGTGGGACACCACCTTTTGGAATCGGCTTCACTACCGAGCATTTCCAGTCGTTCAACAATGCACCCTCGGACAGCAATCTGTTGAACAGATCCGTCACGGCAGGCGAGATGATGGCCGATAAACACTTCAAAATTAGCAAGTGAAGTCCATCGGGTCCGGCAGATTTTGTGCCATCGAGACTGGTGAGTAGACTGCGGACATCTACTGCACCGCAGTCAAGTCCCTCGAGTTCAGTAGGGGCTGTACAAGTCGAACTCGGCAAAGGTGCATGCCCACTTATATATACGGAAGCGCAATGCGCCACCAATTTGGACGTAGGTTCAGTGCTGTTGAACAGATCCGTCAATGCAGGCTAGATGGTGGCCGATAAGGACTTAAAAATTAGCGGGTAAAGTCCATTGGGTCCGACAATTTTTGTGCGGATAACGGCCTCCGGTCGGTTATTTTTGGCTGTGTTGACTAGGTCAGTTTGTGTCGAATTTCTTCGTTCATTGGAAGTATTTCGTGGAAATCTAAATATAATTCAGTTTCATTTCTGATTCTGATTTTTCTATCAGAAATACTTGGGTTTTCATTGCTCGGTTCCGGCGATCTTGCTATCGCCAATTTCTCCAGCAATTGGCCACCATCTTGTTTTCGGATTATTCAAAATGCCGATGTAATCTCCCTGTGGTATTTGTTCCAAGGTAGTCGCATATCGCGCAAATGTCCTCACGTGTGTTTGGTGCCAAGTTAAATACCCCATTTCACGTGTTGGATTATCAGTTGAGCATTTTCACAACCTTCGTGAAATCTAACACGATTCCATTCAAACTGCATATGAAAATTGCCGAAACAAGATACAGCCAGGAAGAGTAAAGATGACTTGTAGGCTTCATCATTCCGTTGCGAACAGCTCTGTGTGTCTGGCCAATCGACCTAACCTGTAGAGCCTTAAGGTTTCAGCTCAGTCTTCCTCCTCTAGCCGTGCAAACCTACCGGCACGAAGTCCAACCGTTGTGAGAAGCCCAGTTTCACCTGGCATAAATTGTTTACCTTTGTTGTGTCCAACGAGCACTGATGTCCCAGCAAGTGAAAGTCTGAGTGCTGAAGACCAGTGGAAAGAACAAAGAACGAAATTACGGAGGGATGTCGTGCGTTTAACTGCTGTAAGTCAACAGTTAGCCAAACCACGTGAGGCTGGTAATATACTTCACCCTGTAAGGTCCACCTCTTCCGACCAGTGGCGTTATAACCTCGTGAACTTCCACGCGCCGGAGTCCAGTTATACATCACCCCAAGTGCTCTACGAGCACCACGTCGTTTTTACAGTGTCTAATTGACAAGCACCTTAACGCTGATGAGTACTTCGTAAATGTGAGGCAAATTACCCGTCGTGAAAAGCAAGGTGGTCAACAAAATCGGCCAATGTGTATCCCTTTTGTGGACGAAACCAGTCCAAGACTGATCTTGTCCAATCTAAGTAGGATGAAAGGTTTGAAGATCCATGTTCGTCCAGACCTGGACCCAGTAGTCAGGGAGCAGCTCAAGTCTGCCATCATTAAGCTGAAAAGATCTCTTGGTGAAAGGAAAACAAATCTTCGTATCGTAAATTTTCTGGTGGTTTCCAAGTATCTGTGAATCATGATAAACAGACTGCTTACACTTCAACCACGCCCGGCGGCTCCTGCTGCGGCCTGCGAGTAGCTAACCAAACGTTTGCAGTGTTATGAACAAGCTTTGCTGTTTCGTTGCCTCTGAGCGGCCAGACGTAGTAGGACTCGCAAAGACATGGCTGCATTCAGAGTTATACACCCAAGAAGTTTAACACAGCGGTTACTCGTGCTTCCGATGCGATAGACTAAGGGATGCCCGCGGTGGTGTCTTACTTTACATCCGGTCTTCCCTGCGTGGGAGACTTATGAGCACGTACCAAAGTGACGATGGTTTGTATGAGCTACTGTGGTGCTCCATCCGCCTCAGGCGCGGAGAACTGCTTGTGGGCGCAGTTTATCGCAGCCCCCTGAGTCTTTGTTTATATTGGCTGCCCCCTCTTCGAACCCACGTGAGTCCTCCACATTTTCTACTTATGGGCGATTTTAACTTTCCTCGAATGCGATGGCCTGATGTGCATTTGATACCTGGAAATAGTGAGGTTGAAGCAAAGTTCCTGGACTAGGTACTTGAAACTGGCGCATCGCAACACGCGTGCAAGCGAACGAGCATAACACTACGCAAACCCAATCCCGTCTCGACCAGATGTTAACGAGCTACGAACAACGAGTGCATGACGTTCGGATCCTGGAGCCCCGGGCTACAAGCTGCCACTCAGTGCTCATACCTGATATGGAATTACGTTTTCCGTATTCACGTCTGCTGAAACCAGCGTACAACTATGGGAAAACGGATTCCGACGGTTTAGCTCGAGCGGCGAGCCAACTGGATTGGTCTCTTTAAAAAATTACATCTATAGAAGACTGTTGGATATTTATAAAAGTGGGATGGCAATCGAAGGACGCAACTGTTCCCCAAATTCAACTTTGAATTCCTTTCCACTGTGCCAAGCGTGGCTCGCGGATCTCAGGATCGTAGTGTACATGGCGTCAGCCGTGAACTACTACTCTCTGAGATCCAGCCCCGCTCAGGCTGTCGAAGCCTGGTGCGTCCAAACCAAAACAAAACCGCGGTTGTGGTGTGCCGGTGTTAAGAGGAGAAACACCAATATATTACTATTTCGGATACGGTCCTTGCGATCGAAAGGCCCGAGTTTTACCTCAAAATGATCCGAAGTCTAAATAGTGGTTGCGTGTTGCAACCCAGCGACAGCTGTTTCCCTAAATTCAACTTTGAATTCCTTTCCACTGTGCCAAGCGTTGCTCGCGGATCTCAGTATTGTTGTGTACATGGCGTCAGCCGTGAACTATTAATCTCTGAGATCCAGTACAACTCAGGCTATCGCCACCTGATGAGTCCAAAGCAGGACGAAACCGCGGTCGTGGTGTGCCAGTTTTGGGAAGAGCAACACCAATATATTACTATTGCGGATACGGTCCTTGCGATCGGAATGACCGTGGTTTTCCTCAAAATGAGCCGAGGTCTAAATAGAGGTTGCTTATCGCAACCCAACGACGCAGCGGTTTCCCCAAATTTAACATTGGGATTGACATCATTGATTTCTCAATTTGTGCCCTCGAAATATCGGAAGGTTGGACCGTGTAAGTCACATTGGTTTGACAAGGAGTATGGAAATCTGGCTCGGATGCGGCGCAGACTGTGGGACAAATTCCTCCTCCATGGCTCTGCCAATGATTACGAAGGATATGAAAGTCAGCGGAACCTCTGCAACAGTGCAAAAAAGAATAAACGCCGACATTTTGAAGAGCATCTCGCAGTAGCCGCAAAGACCGCCCCAAAGAGAATCCTTTCATACGTGAAGCGACGCCTGAAGCCGGCAGGTGATGTGCCAGTGCTGGATGGCCCAGATGGACAGCCCCTAACCTCCAGCACTGAGGGTGCGTCCGCGTTGGCTGCGCACTTCGCTTCAGTATTTGCGAATAACCAGGTGTCTGTTCCGAGTTCGACGTGTACCGCTTTCACCGAACTCGATAGTCTGCATTGCGGCGTTGAAGAGGTAGGTCAACTACCCGCCAACCTTGACGGCCCCAAACCCGCCGGACCTTATGGGCTTCACCCAATGGTTCTCAAGTCACTTTCGACCATCCTCTCTCCTGTCGTGACTGACCTTTTCAACAGGTCGCTGCCCAAAAGTTCGTTGCCGGTTGACTGGAAATGTTCCATGGTGAAGCCTATTCCGAAATGCGGCGACCCTAGCAAAGTAGACAACTACAGGCCAATTTGTTTGACACCTATTTTGACAAAGGTTGCTGAGAAAATCTTAAAGAAGGAATTGCTGCAATTGCTACAGTCAAACGAGGTCCTGACACCCGCACAACACGGTTTTGTGGAAGGTCGCTCATACGTTACGAACCTGCTTGTGACGAGGCATGTGTGGTTGAAGGCAATAAGCAAGCGGAAGTCCGTCGACATGGTATTCATCGATTTCAGTAAAGCGTTCGACAAGGTCAACCATGAGGTTCTCCTTCACAAACTCAGGATGCGTGGTGTCGGTGGCTCACTGCACCGGTGGATCCGCGACTTTCTTGTTGGAGGAAAGTAGAGGGTACAGGTCGACGACCACCTAACTGACTGATACCCCTCTACAAGTGGCGTGCCTCAAGGCACTTGCTGGTGCCCACTCTGTTCCTGATCCACATCAACGATCTACCGCATCTTCTCCGGTCGCCGTGTGTCTTGTTTGCGGACGACATGAAGATTTTGAGAGAAATTGACGCTCCCGATGACTGTGGCCTACTTCAGCAAGACCTCAACCACCCATCCACATGGTCTGCAGAAGTTCTTCCCCCGGTCAACCCAGCCTAGTCTGTATTTAGGAGCCTAGGGAAGGGTGCTGACTGCCGAACCTATACCCTTGACGGCCAACCGCTTTATCTCACTCCCTCCGTGAAGGACCTAGGTGTACTGTCAAGCTACGATTTGAAGTCCGTGGACAACGCGAATAGGCTATATCGTAACGGACTGCGCATGCTTTGGGCGCTCAAACGTAGCTTCAGCACATGGTCTGAAGAGGTTGCCACTCGCCTCTTCTCTTCCATCATTAGACCAATGCTAGAGTACGGTTCGCCCGCCTACTTTCCGATTACCCGAAGCGAGGCACAGAAAGTCGAACGGGTCCAACACGTTGCTACCAGGCTCATCCCGAGTTTACGTGGCTTGGGGTATGAAGACCGGTGCGAGAAACTAGGACTCTACACCTTATCCTACCGTCGGATGTGGGTCGACCTCATTATGATCTAGCGTATTCTACCTCTCGGTGCCTTCCTAATGCTAAGGCCAATGCTGCACTTACGAGGGCCACGCAGTACACGCGGACACAGATACAAACTTGTCGCGCCGGATGTGAAATGTGTTCCCCACCCACTTTGCTTCGAACGGAGAGTGGTAAATATTTGGAAGAGTTTGCCTGAACATGTGATGGAGGCAACATCTGTGCAGCAGTTCAAAACGTTTTTAGATTTATATTTTACCACTATTAGATTCAGAGAACGATTGCACACTTACGATGACATATCACATTTGTGAGTCCTGAAATATCGTGAGTCAGATATTTTAAATGTTACATGAGAACGACAACGATATTCACGGTTGACAACTTGTATAACGTTTTTCACCATATTTCGAAAGAGTTGTACAGAATTCATTTCTACTTGCTCTATAATACAGTACTCAGTATTCATCTGCTATTCATCGTATTATAGCCACGAAAACCTACTGCCTCGAGAAGAATTACCAGCAGTAGAGTTTGTTTTTCATTTGCAGTGATATGAGGTTTTAGTGTGCTCACACGGGTAATCCTAATTGTGAAGAGAGAAACTATGTGCTTCGAGACAAATTAATTGTCACACATGCGTACTGCGATTAGGGTATTGTCCACTCAGGAATCATATGGAAGATGGCGTGTACTTGCCCGAGTCAAGACACACCGGGACTCACCGATTGGCCTCTACTTTCTCCTTTGTCACGTGTAAGCATGCCTTCTCATGGCTTTCAGAAAAAGAATTTCGTTCCTCACGGGTCCCTTTTGTGACCAGATTTAGTGGACACGATTGGGTGGGTTGTATCTCATCATGATGACCAGTGCATGTCTGTGGGGAGATGGTTGGATCTATCACAGCTTGATTGGGACCAGGCGAGGGCGTTTGCAGCTGTGACAGCAGATTGCGCCACAGTCGCAGGTAAAGGATCGTTTGTTGTGGGTCGGTGACTGATATAGTAAGAGAGAATGCAGTTTTCTGATAGGCAAGTAGCGTCAGAGGCTAGTGAAGAGCACATGAGTTATTTGGTAATTGCATGCACTGGAAAGGTTAAGTAAAATTCATATCGGTTCTGCATAAAGCTCCCGTTACCTATTATTTAATTTCCAATTCCTTTAGTATTTACTATTTAAGATGAAAAGTCCTCCTTCGTGCCATGCACTGTCCGTGCCATCGGTTTTATATGTCACTAAAACCCAGCCAGAATTATCTATTTCCACTACTTTGTCAAAGGAAGATTCTGGATGAAATCACTTGAGAAACGCTTTCCTTCAGTCAAAAGTTGTTCGATGTGGACCCATCTGACCTATTAACAGGAGACATGAAGAGATTGGGCAGTCGTTTACATTTTTGTAAGCGCTCTCCAACACAAAGTCCCCAAACTGGTTACAAGCTGCTGTCCACAACTCGTCGAACAGCAGCATAGAATATAGGTGCAGGTGAACGGTATGGTTAAGGGATTGTTATTGAAACTTTCTGATGCAGCAGTGTCGACAGTTCGATGTGCTAAGTCTAAGCTATACTGATATGCAATGAATACTCTTTTGCGCTTAGAAGTAAAGGGGCCCAATATAATCATGCTAGCAGTTGTTCCCATGCTCGCTTTTCTGGCCCTTTTCTTACACCACGAGAAATATGGCTTACTATTATTATTTAATTATTAATTAAAAAGCAGACCGAAACTGTTGTTTGCATCGTTAGTATTGAAAGCTAGCAATGGTGATATCTAGCTTCTAATAATACGTACCCTGTAGTATCACGTTGCTATAATATCAATAAATTATTGATTTTCTGAAAACTTATTTAAAGTCTTGGTGAACCTTGCAGAGATTCATCAGGATATTCCTTTTATGCTCAAGCAGATTTGTAGTATGTAGCTAAATTTTGGACTGACAGTATTGGAAGGTTGGCTGCCACATAGTAAGAAAGCCTAAGCAACATATCCCATATCCTATAACTTGAAACGGTAGTTAAAACAAGAATCGAATAAAAGACTTGGTAAAACTAACCCCTAGTTACTTACCTCTTGATGTAGACTGAAAATCCCAATCACACTGATGCATAAACATCACTGCTTTGCTTCCGAATAATGCACACACTGATTGGATAGAGTTGTAAGAAGCAGCTAATCGATCAGGTAACCTACACAGAGTAATGCTCAGTCATCCCGATCAGCTGTTCACTTAGGCGAAATACGATAGCATGGTGTTAGTCAAATTGAACTGTTATGCTTCGGAAGCGGCTGCATTGTCCTTGGACATTCCTCGATGTTTTCCTCGATTTCAATAGGAAAACGGTAAGGGACATTCCACTTGCTACCTATTTGCTCCGAAGATCTATTCACACAATGCGATCGAATCACCATAAAGGAACACTTGACTAATCCATCATTATAAACAGATACGCTTTCAAAAATTTGGACTTGCTAGCTTTCTACCAAGCATGGTAAGCCATAATCACTGTCGCCGAATTTCTTTATAGCTAAAGCGTGAGATCATACCAATGAGATCAGCAAGCTATCCGCATTTTGTCCATAGTCCTAGGGTCTTCCTTTCTAAGATATTTCATGATTCTGAGGTAGTGATATTCGAGGCGGACTAGTCACGGTGTAACATGTTTCAGTATCCTAACAGAGATGATATTGTTTATACCACTCAGCCTACAGAAATTGCATACCGCTTTTTGTTGTACGCCTTCGCATACCTTGATTAAAGTATGAATAAGGCATAGTTTTAGTTAACTATTTTGATCAGCATCAGCGTTTTTCCGTTCGTTCAGCTCTCGTTGGGAACTGTGTGCAACTTCCAATCGATTAGGTTGTTTCAAATTCAACTAACATGTTTCCGACGCCCCGCCAGAATTTTCTGGAAACTTCTTGGTTCTTTTATATGGGTGTATAAGGGGAGACACAAGAACGATGATCCGCCTTCGTTCATTCATCCTACTTCTTAGCAATACCTGCGATAATAGCAAACTAAAAATTTGCTGTTTGCAGATGCCTATCGCACTGATTCCTACAAAACCGCAGAGTGGTCGAGGCTTGTTTAAACATGTTTGGCTTGCTACGCACGGATGCTTCAACTTAAAGTATGGTGAAATCCTGGTTTCATCTATTCAAAGTAGGGAAATACGAATGGTCAAACCTAGGAGGTCAATGACGCAAGCCAGCGGAATTTCTCAACAGCATCCAGGACGCTGTATAGGAGGATCCGATACAATGTGTTCATGAAGTTTCGGCAAAACTTGGCCTTCCAAAAACCCCGTTCATCATCATTTGTGACAATACAGAATGGTCCCGAAGCTCGAGCAACCTGCACCAGACGAATTCAGGGGTGAGGAACTTTTGAACCGCTGTGTCGTCGCACTTATATTGACCACTGATGCCGCACACATCAATAGCTGGACGATGTCATTACTGGAGACGAAAAAGGTGTGGTCCATATCAACCATAACAGGAATTGGCAGTGGATCACAGCAGATGAAACTCCAGTGGAACTCCCTAAATGTGAACAGCACGGCAAAAGGTGATGCCATCCATTTGGTGGGATCGCCTCGGCGTCACGTTTTGAGAGCTGCTATCTGGCAATTCCACGGTTACTGCCGATGTCTACTGTCAACAAGTAAAAAAGATGGCCAACAAATACAGAAAAAGCCTCTAAGGGCGGTTTGCATCTTTCTCCTGTATAACAATACATTTCCTCGTGTGTCAAAGATGGTACGTCTCAAGATTCAGTAGCTCGATCTCGAAATCTTAGTGTTTCCAGCATATGGCCTGAACTTTGCCCCTTCTGACTACTATTTTTTCACTCGCTTCAAAATCGCTTCAAGGATGAGAGATTGGATGACCGCAGCCATATCGGAGGATACCCTGCCCAATACTTTGACAACCAGCCCAGCTCGTTCTTTGAGAGAGGCATTGAGAGATTGTCCAAGCGTCAGCAGTACCTCATCGATAGCAATGGATGTTGCCTTGAGTAAATATTGTTTCTGGGTAATAGTACCTAATGAGTACAAAGGTGTGCTTTAAAGCTCAGTAGATTTTGGGGCAAACTAATGGTTGACTACTCTACAACAGATGTGCTATTTACATAGGCGCACGAATACTGGTGCAGTTGGCGACACCATAATTACTACGTGCTAGACATGCAGGTAGGTACACCATGCTTACTGCTTAGTTTCTACACGCAACCCAGACTGATGGTTTGTGACTAAATGTATATTGATTTCAGCACACATTACGGAGTGCATCTTCTAGCGTTTGGCTGTTGCCTGACGGTGAGGTTTTAGCACCAACAAATCAGTTGATAAGGCGTGTTGGATTCACGACAACTCTTAACCAATAGTGAAATAAGTGCAAGAGCTGGTCACGAACATCACTTGTCCCCAACCCTAATAGGCGATAGCTTTACTGTCCACCGACGCAGTCTGACGAGATCAGGGTTGTAAATCTTCTACGTAACAAGACGTAACCTTCACCGGTCCTTGCTTCCTAAATAACCTAAATTGAAATGGGTTTATTACAAGTAGAAAGCAAACGCTCAACCACTCCTTAGGTGGAACGTGGCAGAACAAAACTGAATATTTTTGTGATATTCAGCCCAGTAGTTCACAAGCTACATAGCACAGCCCAGTCCGGAAAAGCACCAGACGCATTTCGCCCTACTGGGGCTCGTCAGTGATGTGCATGCCCTCGGTGCCTTACTGATGATCGACCCCTTGACCGCTAGAGGCAAATGCCAACTAGCCAGCGGCTCAGGCCGCTGGGCATGAAAGACGTTGACTGAGCTACATCCTTTGCAAGCTAACCGAGATATAGCACCACCTATCTTCCACTGTCAATGACAATGGCTAGTCTGCGACTTGATGACGTCCTCTCGTTAGACTCTATATCCATAGCATTCGCAACTATATATCTCAGTTAGCTTGCAAAGTATGTAGCTCAGCCAACGTCCCCCATGGCCCAATGGCCTAAGCTGCTGGCTAGTTGGCATCAACGTCTATTGATCATGGCTTCGATCCCCAATAGGGGACCGAGGACATGCGCACCGCTGACGAGCCCCAGTAGGGCGAAACGCGCCTGGTGCTTTTCCGGACTAGGCTGTGCTATGTAGCTTGTGAACTACTGGGATGAAAACCTTAAATATTACATATAAATCCTGCTACCCACCAGTAACAGGAAATGAATATGTCGACAGAACGCACGTTGGCGGACGCACACACGAAAATTAGTTACCTTACGGTATAGCCGAAACGTTTTGAATTATTCAAAAGATACAGGAGAAGCAATTAATCCACACGTCAAGCACTGGATTCGCTTAGCATAGGAGCGTAAATAACAGAAATCAGAAAAGCCTTTCATGACTAGAATATACAATGGCATAACTTTAGGCGACATTCCAACGGGCCGACGGTGTGGTCAACTTCTAATGGATTGCCTCTCAATGAGTTGTTTTGGCTGTGTTTCAATAAGTGTCGGCATGCATGGTATGGATGTGAGGACATAATATAACAATGATAGATCGCCTTCCAGAAAGCGATATTGTCTACTGGAAACCAATAGGGCTTTCAGTCTAGTTTAGGGAGAAGGAACAAACCCTTAACACCTGTAGTCATCTTTCATTTTTGATTTCCGAGGACAATGAGGTCGTGTTTTCATCAATTGTACCAAACATAAACGGCGCATTATATACGTATTGTCCTATAAGTGTGTGAGATTTTCAAGACGACGGCAAGTCGAACTACCAAAACACTTTCCGTAAAAGTTTAAGTGTTTATTCGCCCTGCTTGCCTTCTTTACATTCCAACTTGAGCAACCGCTGTCATCGTGTGATAGCAATTGGATGAACCGTTTCATCTGTCAGGTACTTGTATCTAAATGTAACTAAAACGTACTGCAATGGTAACGGGCTTTTATTACGTCTCAGTTACGCTGCTCATACTCCTTTAGGAATGCGCCGTATCCATTTTCCACGGAACGGCACACGCAAGCTGCGGGCTTACACATGCTGATGTGGATATGCCTATTGCAACTGACAATATGAAAAGTCACTTGTGACGCGTCTACTATTCATCAAGCCCTCTTGGATGAAGGTGTGATAATTAGTCTGCTTCGAAATTGAGTCCAACCATATAAATCAACTGGTCTGGGATCACCACAGGAATTCGATTTAGCAGTTGTGAATTTGGGCTCAAGCCCATCAAATTGATAAATGCACAGGGGGCATTAAGGAGATTTACTCAATTAAGACAAAGACGACGCCTCTTAGACAATAAGTGGCAACACATTTCTTATCTGATGTTCTTAACACAATCAAGCTGCATTAATGTCTTGTTATGTCCGGAAGGATCTCAGTGAGTTGCAAGCGGACTTTATGTGCACATGCGTGACGAGAGGTAAATGTGGGAGGTGTCACCATCGGATCCATACGATTTCGACAACAAACGGTACACAGCTGGAGTCTCCCTGCTGCGGACTTCGGTACAATCGTTCTCGACAACGCTAGGTAGTCGCTGGATCCGGAAGTGACAACAACAAAAGAAAACCTTCTTTCACTCACATACCTAAGACTTGTACGCTGGATAGTTGTAAGTGCATTAACTTACAATGTTAAGAGATTTAGTATAAATGGGATGGAACGAGTTTGTATACTTTAAAGATCACCCTAACCTGTACACTCCAATTAACGTACAAGTCAATGAGCAGCAAATAGTGCTGATTTACACCTAGCGATTTAATCGTGTTGGTCAATGTTCTTAACCGCAGATTGATCACAGTTGCGTCAAGGATTCGCACCACACAGCGGTCAGATGAAATGCGCACTGCTGAGGATTCAATAAAGGGTGAGAAGACGGCACAGCGCTTTTCCGGGCGTGTGATGGCTGACTGACTAAGTTACAATGTGTTGCACATCCACTCATGTCCCTCGAATCCCCGTATCCCTCCCTTGAAAGCAATATGCAGATTAAATTGCTTACAATGCTGAGACTTAGTTGGCGGATTAAGTTTGGTAAATTCGTTGCTCGGTGAGAAGGCTACGCTGTCCCCTGCCGGGAAGTAACGTGCAACACAGTAGCTAAAGTGCGGTGTGATATCAAATCTAGCAACTAAGTCACGTCCCTCGTTACCGTCTCATGCAGCGCAGTGGTCTTAACCATGCAACGATAACAGCGGAGTTGCCTGCACTGGAAGTGGGAGATGTGTTTCCCGACGACAGGGGCTCGCAGCACAAAACGATGTTGTTAATTTGGAAAAATCTACATAGCCATTACTAAACAGCAAAGCTGGGCGTTTCACCCATACTGGTTCTGATATTATTGAATCCTTTTTTTACAAAGACTAACCTGTTGCCATCCATATTCCATCTGGATGGAACATAAATCACATTTTTATGAAGCTGTGTTAACATGTCAGCGCTTGTTGGATAAGTTTCTGCATACTTTGAACTTGTTTTCTCGAACATGAGCTGATTTTGTATAACGCGGATTAAGCAATGGGGCATGCAGATCAGGTTTCGATGTTAGTGCCTCATTTTGTTACCATGACATACTGTGACAACATACTCCACTATTTCCTGTCTTGGGGCTTGTCATGTTACTCACTTGTAGTGGGTGGCTGGGTCATCCAGAGTGGCCACCAGTACGGTGGGAGTTGATCTGAGACAACTGCTGGACAGACCGCCTTTTGCGTGGCAGCGTTGTTCCATCTACTGGATTCAACCAGCAGCGTCTGATACCCAGTAGTCAACTTTTGGGCGCTTATAGTTTGACCCGAGAATTCCAAATCTGCCGAAAGAGGAAGATGAATTTCCGAACTGTTCTGTTGATCTGCATCGGAGTAAGAAGATGAAGAGGAAGGGTTTCCACTTGTTGCTGATCCTCCCGCAGGAGGAGTAGACGGATTGCCAGTATTCGTTGATGAAACATCCGGATTTCCGTGAGTCAGCCAAGATAACGGGGAGCTGATGATATCTTGTTTGGTGAGCGGAGTGGAACTGATGTTTGTCGTTGTGGCACTGAATAAAGGAAAGAAAACGCATCAGTCCATTATGTACCATTTAAACCAGGCCTGATTATGTTGCGTCAATAATCTATCCTAGAAACAATGTGCCCTGACAGTGTAGATGAGCCAAATAGCGGCTTTGTGAACTAAGACTGTTTTGTCAAGTTCGATCCATGCCTGGAAGTGTAGTAGAATCATTTCTGTCCACATATTATTGCGCTTTAACAGTTTTGACGAAAGCCTATTCCATTGGAGCTCTATTATACAGCCCGTTGTAATCAGTAGAAAATATAATGCCGAGCGAACATCGTGTTCATAAGCCATCACCATCAGGCTGCCGTATGGGAACTTCATCTGCGTTCGTGACACTCGCGAGTACGCGAAAAGCCAAATTTTTCTTTCTACCTTAGCCTCTGTTTCTGCACTAATCGATCCGATCATTTTACGGTGCCTTCCAAACACTTACATTTTAGAAGAGTAGTAGGGAGAGTTGACTGGTATAGGTAGAATTTCGTCACATCTAGGCTCACTCAGACATCCGCCACACGCCCGAAAAATCACTGTACGCGCGTTTCATCCTTTCGGGAATCATCAGCAGTGCGCATTCCATCGGACCCCTGGTAGGGCTCGAACCCGCAACTCGACTGTTGCCAGTCAGTGGTTGAGACCACTGAGCTACGGGGGACGGCAACGACCGTCGTGAATAAGTTACTAGCTATGATATAGCGCCGCTCACTATCCAGAGGTCCGATGGAATGCGCACTGCTGATGATTCCCGAAAGGATGAAACGCGCGTACAGTGCTTTTCCGGGCGTGTGGCGGATGTCTGAGTGAGCCTAGATGTGACGAAATTCTACCTAAACCATTCAACTCTCCCTATTACTCTTCTACAATCAGTGCGCAGACCAAACTGCTTATAATGCCATAAGTTAATTGGCGGCTTAAGTTTGGTAAGCTCGTCGCTTGGTGAGGGAGCTACCCTGTCCTCTGCACGGCACTAACGTGTAAGTCAGTGGATAGTGAGCGGCGCTATATCATATCTAGTAACTTATTCACGATGGTCGTTGCCGTCCCCCGTAGCTCAGTGGTCTCAACCACTGACTGGCAACAGTCGAGTTGCGGGTTCGAGCCCTACCAGGGGTCCGATGGAATGCGCACTGCTGATGATTCCCGAAAGGATGAAACGCGCGTACAGTGCTTTTTCGGGCGTGTGGCGGATGTCTGAGTGAGCCTAGATGTGACGAAATTCTACCTATGCTTACATTTTAGTCGCTATAAATAATGTTCCGCTTTTTATGGATAAACTGTCACTTCGCAGGAAAATGAGTACGGATGCAAATGTTTTGTTGGAGTGATCAATACTAAGAAATTAAGGAATGAATACAACATGACGTTGAATTTATGCCCATTGTATCACCGATGAGGTATTCAACACCTGAAATGGCTGATTCTCAAAATCCGACCCAGACAAATGCTAGGAAGTAAATCCACTCAGATTTTCCGTGAGCATCTTCATGGTTTCATGTTAGTGGTTCTCAACCTGGGGGTACTCTCTCCCAAAGGGAGTAAACTGGAATTTCACGAGTAATAAATATAAGTACGAGGATCGGCTTATCGATCAGTCGCCAAAGGGAATTGATACCAACATCATTTTGTCAAGACATGCAGCCAACTACCTACTCATGACTGATTAGCCGTCAGTGACTACTCATTGGTAAGTAGTCAGTGAATTAGATATTTTGCACTAACGAATGTTATTACCTGGAATACCAATACCAACCGGCAAAGCAGGGAAGCTAAATGGCGCCTCTATCGGCTAGCTTGTCGATCGTGGTATTTTTGAGTCTGGCAGTCATTCACCGAGTCTAATTACAGAGTTGAGTGAGCACTAAGGTGGGAGCATAAGTTCGCCGACCAGGTAAAGCGCAGCGGGCGAATGTTGACAATGCAGAAATAACAAAATGGGCGATAAGTGTTCAGGATGTATTGATCCAGTTAGGTGGTGGGAAGCTGTCATCTAAGAAGGACTTAGAAGGAATGGTTGAAACAAGTCAAGAAAGTCGAGAAAGTGCTTTATGTACCCAGATCAGGTGAATATTCAGCCACTGGTATTTGTGCATGTTTGGTCAGGGATCACAAACCAAGGCAAGGAATCGAATACATTTAGAGCACGACTTACGCTTAGCATTATCCGAAACCGCAACAAAAATGTCGGAAATTGTTGGATCTGAACAGCATCAACCGTCTCTTTAACGTACATCACCATTTTATTATTGAAATGTTGCTCAAAATGTTTCCTCTGCTTAGAAGATCGAAAGTGATTAAAAACAGTATTCCTTTACCGTAAGTAAAAAAAGTAAGATGCAGCAGTAATAGTTAATCATCTTTTAAAAGAAAAATTGTTTGAGGGGTACTTTTTCACTGTGAACCCACTTTGTTGGTAATAGACTCAAAAAGGTTGAGAACTGAGATTACAGGGGGGTTTCAAAACAACTGATTGGTATTGTTTGAGAGCAAGATTTCGCTTTTGACACAAAAGCTTCGTCAGGCCGATGGAACCAGTTGATGTTAGTATCGGTTTCCTTCTACCATTTACTAATCTCAGAGAAGCAATTTCTGGGATACTAATTGTTACTTTAACAGCAGTGAATAAATACTTATTCAAATATACTTCCAAGTCAGGACACGTTTTCTTCCTTAATATAGCTATAAGAATCTAAGCGAAAAGTTATGTGGTCATTGGCAGGAAAAAGCAAAACTTTTCGGCAAGGGTTACCAAATCTTGGGGCGTTTTGTACCTGAAGGAATATGTGTTTACTCAGTACCTCGTTCGGCGCAAACCTGAATTATTGACTTCCCTACTCACCTGGGTTTACCAACTATTAGAGCAAAGGTGACCCAGAGAATGTAACTCATGTTGACATGCAACTCAGAACAGAAGAAAGCAAACTGGCTACACCCCGTTTTTCGTTAAGGATCATGAGGTATTGGGAGTAAGCTACACGTGAGCAGCACACAAGTAAGTAGAAGCACAAGAAACTTTGCGAGTGGAATCCGATTTGTATGGTACTATTACGCAGCAGACGCAACATACGCATGGAAAATAAGCTTATAGGACCTAGGCTTGATCAACCAGTTCAGAAGGCGGTAGAGGTCTGAGCGTTCTTCTTTGTATCCGAAAATGTGACTAAGAGTGGTCTCCAGCAGAGCACACCTTATCTACTGATGTTAGGTGTCCATAGCTGCAACACACCACAGGTTAAGAACTCTCCGCTTATTGGTACCAGAATAGGATCTATCATGGGGAAATCAGTGAATTTTGCTCTACTGGTTTGGCTAGAAAGAAGAAAATGTCCTTCAACGAGCTATGCCCTCTTTCTACCTCTCATTCCACCCGATTAGCAGGTGAGTTTCCATTACTTGTTCTGAAGGCAAGTAAAGACGGCATTCGCCCAAATGCATTGAAAGTTGCCGCCATAAGCTCAGCTGAACAGTTAGCAACACTTTCAACGAGATCTTAATGAGATGCACATCCCCAAGCTGTGGAAACACGCGCTAATCGCTTCAATCTACAAAAGTGTCAGCCATGCAAAACCAACGAATTAGCGTCTGATTACACTTCTTCCGGTGATCGTCAAGATTATGGTACCCATTGTACCTGACGAGTTCATGTAATACCTGGAGAAAAGATTCTCGTTCCGGAGCATCACTTATTTCACCAAAATCGGTCCAGCACCACTAACCTGTTTATAGCTCGTGCAAGCTGGGCGGAATCTGTGGACGCTGATGTAGGAGTGGATGCAGCCTACCTGGACTTCTCAAAGACATTCGATCGCCTGGATTATCGCATTCTACTGCACAAACTGCAGGATTATGATATCGGTGATCCCGTTCTGGGAGGGTTAGGCGACTATCTCGTTCAACGTCACCTGAATGTGAGGGTTCGCCGCACGCTGTCGGAACCAACCTTAGTTCAGAGCTGCATACCTTAGGGCTCGATACTCGGGCGCCAATTGTTTCTCGTCTTCATAAACGAGCTTGCAAATGTGCTGTCTTCCAAGTATCTGCTATTTACAGATGATCTAAAGATATGGCGTGCTATCGCCTCAGTGGAGGATCACAAAGCTCTACAAGATGACCTGGACGAAGCATACAAATGGTCCAATAAGAACATGATGTATTTCAACCCCACAAAGTGCAAAATGTTGTGCATACGCCAGAGTACTCACAACTACCGCCTAGGACCAGAAAATTTACAGCGAGCTTCTCATGAGTGCGATCCCAGCGTGCTTGTGCAAGAGGACCTTCAGTGTTTAAGGCAGACTGAAAGGGTCTCAATGAAGGCAGACAAACACGTCGGCCTTTTTTGTAGAGCGTTCGGGAAGTTTGACGCCTCGATTTTCCGATAATGCTTGGCGCGTATGGGATGCTGTACACTGAATACGCTATTTAAAAGTGGCAAGCAACACCTCACCACGCTCAATACCTCACAACGCATGGCGACAAAGAACGCCACAGGTTTGTCCCTCCTTCTCTACCCACTCAGGCTGAAAATCCTCGATATATACAACGGACGTTATAGGCGTCTAAGAGGTCATCTCATGCTGGTGTATCAGATCCTGAAAAACCCCAATTACATATGCCATCCTCTTTTGAAACTCAGTCAAAAGACGTCTGAGGGCTCATCAGTTTGAGCTGGTCACGCCATACAGCCGAATGGTATGTAGCTCGGGGTGTGGATGCGGATTTTGAGCAGTTCTCCGAGCTGGGTAATTATTTTGCAGACGTTTCGTTGCCTGGCTAGGCAACACCATCAGTGCGGCTTCAGGGGCCTGGTTCGCAGTGCCTCGTAAGCGACTTCAATGTCCAAGTGCTTATTGATCAAGTTCTGTTTTGAATGCCAGGCTTCAATGAACTCACGTGCTTGCCGGCTTTTAGCCCTTCCGAGGATGCTGGCATGCTCTAGGTCGAATTGATGGTTCACGGCATCCATATGCACTGACATCAGGGAGT